GGTCGCTTTGACCCAGCATTTTGAGTTTCTTATGTGTTGGTTTGATGTTGTATTATGGGTTATTCTTAATCTCTGGTTGTGTCTTGTTGTTTATTATTATTATTGTTCTGTTTCAGATAAGGGTTTTGTTCTTCTACCCTCGTGTGTAGTATAGCTTTCGCCCTGTGTTAAGTCTGCGTCTTTGTGAATTGTTTCCTGTTTTATTTTGCAGATTTATGTTTCATGTCAGTGTTTCTAGCTTCGCTTCCTCTGTCTCATTAGGTCTAATTTCTCCTGGCTGTGTGCCCACATGTTCCTGCCTGTGTATTTATAGTGTGTGTTCAGCGTCGCGTCGTATCAGATTTTACCTGTGTGTTTCAGTTTGTGTTTTTCCTGCTTTGGTTTCTGTTTTGTTTTCTGCCAGCAATAAAGCTGTGGTTTTTGAGTTGCATTCAGTCCCCGAGTCCTGCATTTGGATCCTCAAATGCAGGACTCACCTTCCGCCTGCCCACACACAGAGCCCTGACACAATCGGTCTTAAAGGTGCACCCTGTTTATGTATCTTTGGTAAACCATGCAGACTTGGTGTAGACTCCCCTGGGTATAACCTGTGGTATGAGGTCCGGTCAATAGCCTTGTCCTGTTCTAACTGGTTCAGACAGTCTATCAGCCTCTTCCTGTAGCCACTTCCTGGGTCTCGTTTCAGGGGCTCATAAGTATTTTCCCATGATAGTCTTTCTGGTTTAGCAGAGCTGTGCACCTACCCTTGTCTGCCGGAAGGGTGATGTTGTCATTACTAAGTGATGTGAGTGCCTTCCTCTCCTCCATGCTGATCTTTTGAAAAGCAGTGTATCTCTCTGATGTCAGCCTAAATATCTAAATATCTAGAAACTGACGCTTTGTTTTTTGGTAAATGGCCTGTATTTGTATAGCATCCCTAAGGACCCCAAAGTGCTTTACACAGCCAGTCATCCACCCATTAACACACACATTCACACACTGGTGATGGCAGCTACATTGTAGCCACAGCTGCCCTGGGGCGCACTGACAGAGGCGAGGCCACTGGACACTGGGGCCACCGGGCCCTCTGACCACCACCAGTAGG